CTGAGAGATATTATGAATAATCCAGAGGACAAGCCTTTTGGCGGTAAAGTTATAGTTTTTGGAGGTGATTTCAGACAAGTGCTACCGGTTATCAATGGTGCTGGTAGAGAGGAGATTGTGTTTGCTGCGCTTAATTCTTCTTATATTTGGGAGCATTGCAGAGTTTTGGAGCTAACAAAGAATATGAGACTTCTTGCAAACATTAGTGACCTTGAAAAGCGGGAAATAGAGGAATTCTCAAAGTGGATACTAGATGTTGGAGATGGGAAAATTTCACAGCCTAATGATGGAATTGCTATGATTGACATCCCAAAAGAGTTACTTATTACTCGGGATAAAGATCCAATCGAATCCATCATCGATGCAGTTTATGGAAATACCTTTATGGTGGAGAAAGATCCTAAATTTTTTCAAGGTAGAGCTATTCTCTGTCCTACTAATGAGGATGTCAACAACATAAATGAGCATATGCTGAGTATGTTGGATGGTTAGTTAACTTTTACCATTCCTTATTTATTTTTTTCAGATGAATATGATACAATTTCAATACAAGCTTATATCAAATTTGCATCCATTTTCATTCTGTTTTTAGGTGAAGAGAGAATTTACCTAAGTTCTGATAGTATAGACCCTTCAGACACAAGTGCTGCGAATGATGTCGCATATTCTCCTGATTTTCTGAACAGTGTTAGAGTTTCTGGATTGCCAAACCATTGTTTGCGTGTGAAGATTGGTTGTCCGGTCATGCTACTCAGAAACATGGATCCTAATAAAGGTTTATGCAATGGGACAAGATTACAGGTCACTCAAATGGCAGACACGGTAATTGAAGCTAGAGTTATCACAGGTAACAAAGTTGGTAAGATTGTTCTGATTCCTAGAATGCTCATCACACCATCAGATGCCAGATTGCCTTTCAAAATGAGGCGTAGGCAATTTCCTCTATCTGTTGCTTTTGCCATGACCATAAACAAGAGTCAAGGACAGACACTATCTTCCGTTGGACTTTATTTGCCTAGGCCTGTTTTTTCACATGGTCAACTATACGTGGCAATCTCTAGAGTGTCGTCAAAATCAGGTATCAAGATACTTATATCCAGAATGTTAATTGATAAATTATGTATAAGATTATTAATTTTACCCTTATTTCAGGTTTGAAGATTCTTATAACAGACAAGAAAGGTAAACCACAGAGCAAAACAATGAATGTAGTTTATAAAGAAGTCTTTCAAAACCTTCACTAAAGACAGTCATGGAAAGAATCTAAAAGAGTTCCAATTCGACTAGGTAAATATGCTAACTAATCATAATGGTTTTCTCCATTCTTATAGACTAGAGTAGAAGTTGTTTTTATGACTGATGACATTATGTGGCTTTTCTATTTTCATTTTCTCTAACTTTTCAGCATCAAAACAAGGAATTGAAAGGGAGTTGGAGGATAGTCAGGACGTGTCTAAAGGAATAAGAGTATGAACCTGATTTCATCTGCACTTGAAGAAGCAACAGCATTAGATTTAAAGTTTTACATTTTTTGGTTTTTCTTTCATTTATTTATCACACTCGAATTTTAGATTATAGAACTTTTTCTTCTTCTAAACAAATAGATGTCATCACTTTGTTCAACTCAGTATATCGATTCTACATTTCTATTATGAATTCAATGTTCTGATCTACATGTTTCAAATTCAAATGTTTCATTTGTTACCAAATTTTTAAAACGATCCAATAATCAATCAGTTCAAGAACATACTTGATAAATTTGTCTAACTAATAAACACAATTGGTCATGATCAATTACCTGGACATTTCTGTGCTGGTCTAATGTTGCAATCAGTTGTTCCTGAGTTGCTTGCTGAAAGTAGATCAACCCTGTTTAGATTTTTCGCTGATCTTCTTCTTCACAACTCATTTTCATCGACAACTTCATTTTGGAGAAATTCATTCAGTTCTGCAATCAGATATTACATAATTCATTGTCTCTTAAATCGATTTAATCATCAATCAGCTCATGAACTTAATTAATCGATTTCTGTAACTTATAAACAAAATCGTTCGGTTTGAATTTTACCTTTGATCACCACCCCGACGTGCTTCAATTACTCGAAGTATATGAACGGATTGGGCAAGAAATTCAATCTGTGTTATCTTTGAGGTCGATTTTGAAAAAAACTTGGGTAGAATTCGACATTAGTTCTGGGATTAACTGTTGGAAATTTCCGTTTGCCGATCTGTTTTTTTTTTTGTTGTTGTTTTTTTCTTTTTTTTTTTAACAAACAAACTGGGCCAAATAAACCCAAAATAGCCCACTAAACAACTCAGACCAATACAACAATTTCTTTTTTATATCAAATTATCAATTACTACTTAAACTAAATAAATTGTTAATCTTATAAAACAAAATACAAATCTAATGCAACAAAATATATTCAATTCTAAGATAATATATACTACATCATTTTATTACCAATTAATGTCTTCAACCAAATTAAAATTCATGTAGTGTTAAACAATATAAATTAAAGTAACCAACTATTATAAGGAAAATATATCTAAAATAAATTTTATAGTATTATTTACTTCTACAATCAAAATATACAAATTATCGTCAAATAACTACTACACAATATAATGTCCAAATAGTAATAAACATAAAACTATATGATTAATTCTCTTTTATGCTAAACTATTACACTATGTTATTTTTTACATATTTCAAATTAAATGAACAATATATTTCAAAAAAAAATAATAAAACCCCGTGCTGTATAGCACGGGTCATGATCTAGTATTATATATTTGCTCATGTGTTAGTTGAAATACAATACTTACATGATGGTTGTCATCTTTAATATTCTATTGATTATTAGTAAAGTTCCAAGAACCTTGAGGCTTATATTTATCAGAGAAGGAATTTAATCTCAAGAGTTTTTTCTTTGTAATTCTCTTTATTGGCACGGTCCCAGTAGGACAACCTATACCATTTTCCCATAAGTAATCAAATTTTACATTATTTGTTCTTAACGTTTTTAAGAAAGATGTCCGACGTATCTACATTTCAAATAAATTTTGTGTTAGTGACTCTAATAATGATCTATTTGATATATAGTATAAATATTATAGACCTCATATTGGAATAAGTGTTTTTCATTGATGGATTGTCAAACGTTGATTGTTTGTAAAAATCCACACATTCATATATATCACCATGTGTAGTCTGTCACCAATAAACAAAATCAAAATAGAGTAAAAATTACTTTGTAAACTTCATATGTCATGGTGTAGGAATGTTAATAATATAGAGAAATATACATCAAAGTGAATAGTATGGTTATAAAGGAGATCTTTATATTGAACAAAACATACTTTGATGAATTTAGTGGGAGGTTTGATAATGTCTTTAAGTTGTTTTTTGTTTTCAAAATCGCTGACACTTTGCAATATTTCTGCATTCGCAAAGCTATTACTAAGATTCGACATCTCGCTGAAACACACAATATAACCCAGCAAAAATAACAACATTGTCATAATACTTGGTTTTATATTTTCTAAGAAGAAAGTTAGGGAGATGATGTAGGAGTAATGTGATACTATTACAATAATAACTATATATAATAATAATATTAAAAAAGTAAGATAAAGAGAGACATAAATAACATTAATGTTTATTAGATATTTGTAACTTTTGTTTTCATTAAAATTTAATTATGTAATCAATACATCTATTGTTGTTTAATTTATGTGTTATGGTTCATTATTACATAATAACATGTATGTTGTATGTATATTAAAAAGGAGTAAAATAGGTTAATCTTTGATGAATTAATGTTATCTTATAATAAATATATATAATAATATCAAAATAAATGAGAAAAGTAAGGTACAAAGGATATTAAGTTTTATTAGATGCATATGACTTATTTTTCTTCAAAATTGGACTATATACTTAATTAATTTAGTTTTTTTATTTACACATTATGTTACATTGTTACATCTAGTTTTTTGGGCTGCATGTAGCAATCCACCCATACTATATGCGTTCAACTAGAATTATCATGTACTTTTGACATCTACCCACTTCACCACGTACTCTTCTTTTTATTTTAATTTCCACCCAAACTATAAAATTTTACCCAATTATCCAATTTCAGTTAATTTTTGTAATTGCGATTAAAAATCAATAACTTGTGTTCATTGTTTTGTGATTTGAGTAAACTTGAGTTTAAAATTTTGACTCAACCAAGCTTTTTAATGTGTTCTTGACATGTTATTGGAAAGATTTTAAACTCGGTTCACTCAAATCTCGAAATAGTGAACGCAAATTATTTATTTTTAATCGCAATTATAGAAATTAATTTGGTAGAATTTTATAGTTTGGGTGGAATTAGAAAGAAAAAGAAGAGTTCTTGGTAAATTGTGTAGAGGTCAAAAGTACAAAGTAATTCTAATTGAACGGATATAGTACATGTCGATTGCTACAGGCACTCCTAGTTTTTTTGAGAAGCAATGTAGAGTTAAGTCCATTTATTTAAATATGTATAATTCCTTAAACTTAAACTTACACTTAGATTTTAAGTCATGTTAGATAACAAGTTTGCAATCAGAAAATCTCGATATAGAAATAAGAAAGACCCTCTCACAAAAAAAAAATTGACCATGATTATTAAATTACTTTAAACGTGGTGATATACATTGTCATAAGTACTTTTGTTTTGGCTCTACTGATAAAACATAAAAGTTTTCCAATAAGAATCCGGATTTGAACTTTCTACCAAAACATTATAGGAAACCAAAAAACCGAGGTGTATAAATTTTACATTAACATAGAGTGGTCGGACATAAATATACACACGTACTCAATTAAGTAAAGCAGTGTGTTAGGTGAAGTGCGGTCCCTTCTAGTGCTACTCCCACTAAGTTTTATCTTTACAACGAGGAAATCGTCTCAATGTGGCATTCCATGCTTATTTATTATTATATAACGAAAGATTGCTCTTCACAATTCACTCTCTTCTTCTCTCTTTAAGACACTAACAAAATGGAGATAAAACCCTCTACGATCTTCTTCACCATCACCATCTTCTTCGTCTGCCTTCTTGCACACGTCACCTCCAAGGCATCATCATCATCTATGTGTAATGGATCGGTGGCAGAGTGCAGCAGCGTGGTGGAGACAGAGGAAATGACGGTGATAATGGAGTCTTGGTCAAGCCAGAGGTTGACGGAGGAGCAGGCGCATAAACTTTCGTATGGAGCTTTGAGGAGGAATCAGCCTGCTTGCGACGGTGGTAAACGTGGCGAGTCTTACTCTACTCAATGTCTTCCTCCGCCGTCTAATCCTTATAGTAGAGGCTGCTCTAAGCATTACCGATGCGGGCGTGACTCTTGACCATTCACAATCCATCACCATCATGAATCTTTATGTTGTGTAATTGTATACCCTTATGTTCTTTATTTTGTTGGTGAATTTTGAATTGTTTTGGTTTTGAATCTTTGTGACATTGTGAATTTGGGGTTTCGTTTGTTAGATTAAAAAAGTGTTGGGTCCAAACGAAATCCGGAAAAAGATTTACCTTTTCATGTCGGAGAGTTTTGACTTTTTGACCGAGTCGATGCCAACTGCTACGCCTCTTATCTCATATTTGATTGGAGACCAAAACATAATCATCTGAGTCATCGCCATCAAATCATTACTAAGTAAGCCTAGTATGGGCTGCACTAACTGATTAAATGGCAACCATGGTGTTGACTTAATTAGGACAATCTTTTACAAGACAGGTCGAGCTCAGTCAGCACAATAGAGAGCAAGAGAATTCTTACACATTAAAGTTCTAGATTTCTTGTAAGAAAGCATAATACTTAATGGGTGAAAGGATTTTGTTTTGAGATGTTCTTGGGTCGTGTGTAGACCCTTGGACGTGAAAGAAGCTAGATTATTGTTTGAGTGAAACTTGTAAGTGCACAACACATATATTCTAGTAATTAAATTATATTTCTAAAACACATGTCTCAGTTTCTTGTTTCGATAGTTCTTGAGTTTTCATGATCAGGACTCAAACGAGCATACAAAACGTTATTTTTTCAAAAAAGTTTTTATTAAATATTCAACATCCCGAAATGGGCTTGGGCTAAAGCCTTACCAAGATTCAGCGGTTGCAAAAAAGAAAAAGTACAGTTTTTCACCGCAAGCCACATCTACTCAACGATCGGGTGAGACGTGAAAAGCTTCAAAGTTCGGCCAGAGGAAACCGACGGCGAAACCTCTCCAGGCCGTTGAAACTCCACAACCGCATCGTAAATGGGATCTCCAAACCTCATCGCCGCTGGAGAAAAAAGTTTGCCCACCACCGCCTTTCCCTTGCAAGCCCTAGACCACCAGTTAAGATCAAAAACAATAGTGTTGATGCACGAATCACACAAGTACGAAATAGGGTTTCTCTAGGGAAGTAAAAAGAATCTCCCAAAACAATACGAGCCGAGAATACAAATGACGTTAAACGAGCCGGAGTGGATGACTTCGGACTAGAGGTTCCGGGTCGTTTCTGGGGACGAACTGTATGTCGTTTTCCGAGCTGAATGAAACTTGAGGTCGCTTTCCTTTTCTAGACTGAGATCGTTCTTCGTATCCTAGCCGAGCTCTTCGTGTCCTAGCCGAGCTTTTCGTGTCCTAGCCGAGCTCTTCGTGTCCTTGCCGTGTCAGCGTGATTTTCGATGGATGTGACAGGACTGGTCGTCCTGCTTTTATAACCCTGTCGGGTAGGGCACACTCTGACGGTCTTTTCCGTTTTTGCCCTTGAATGTGATGACGTGGCGAGCCTATAAGGCGGTGAGATCGTCTGGGCTTTTCCGTTCGTGGGCCTGGACCATCTCGAGATTTTATGGGAATGGGCCTTCTTTCTTGAATTGGGCCTTGTATCCCTAAAGCCCAATTCTTCCCTCAACAGTTGCCCCCCAATCATGATTCATCGTTTCTTGCGAGGGTCATGATTGCTTTCCTTATTCCCGATGCGCGTGTGAGGTCGCCCCTCTTTCGCACCGTTTTGGGTTTCCGAGTTTAAATGACGCGCGCGCGTGTGAGGGACTCGAGAATTGATTCGGCCGACGCTGCTTCCAATGTTCGGAGATCGAAGCGTCTCTCGCGTGTGAAGCCGTTTTAGGTCGTAATTATCGCCTAACTTCGTAGGTGTGATGATTACTTTTTTCCGCCCTTTTGCTTCTATAAATACTTCTATCCTCCTCGTTCATTTCTCATTCTTCCTCCTCTGCTAAAGGTATAATCCTCTCCTCTCTATTTCGATTTCTTTCATCCCTTCTCTCTTTTTTTTACGATGTCGTCCGACGCTAGCTCTCGCGGGTCGGTTTCCAATCATCTCTGCTCTCGTACATCGTCGGATTCTTCGGATCGTACGCCAAATGTTGATCGATTTCGAGCGAATTCTTTCGATGACGACCTGGAATCTGACTCTCTCCCCCGTAGGAGGAATTCATCTAGATCGTCTGACGCCGGGTCGTGGGCATCTGCAGCCGAACTGAAGCGTCGTGAATCGTCTTCTCAGCGTGACTTTGTTGGGGCGACCTCGATTGTCCCCTTTGTCCCGCGTTTGATTGACGAGGATATCGGCGATATTAAAGTTGACGAACCGGAAGTGGAGATTGGCTATGCCGAAATGCCTTTCGGCGTTCCGGGGCCGACCCCCTATCATGTCGATTTTTTGGGGCCGAGCTGGACTAGCGTCGAGACCCTTCACTATACTCTTCACTACTGTGATGCTCCATCTTCGATAGAAGTTCGCATCCCGACCCCATCTGAGCGACCTTGGTCTGCTCCAGACGGCTTCCTCTGCGTCTATGAGAGCTTCTTTACGGAGTGCGGTCTCACATTTCCGATTCCGAGCTTCCTGCTTGAGTATGTAGCGAGGCGGGAGATGGCGCTTTCTCAGCTTTCTGTTGCTGCCATCCGGAATGCGATAGGCCTGGTTCGGCTGGCGAATAGATGCGGCGTGGTTGTCCGTTCATCTCACTATGAGGAGGTGACTAAGATTAAGAGTCTTAGCAAGAAAAAGCCGGGCTTACACTATGTTCAGTCATCTACGACTCCCAAGCTCGTCGATGAGGCCAAGAGTAAGACCAACGACTGGTCGGCGGGATACTTCTTCGTTCGGATTTCTGCGGAATCTGTTGAGGACGTTAGGGTCCCGATCTACACAGGGTGGAAAATTTCACCCGGTAGCTTGAGCTCGTCTTCCGACCTCACACTTCTTCCTTTGTCGCTTCCGATTTTCTTACGTCTTGCTCTTTTTATGCAGCTCGTTTCCCGACGATATTTGATCCATTTCCCGAGCAGCTCAAGAAGGATCTCGAAAAGATTCGCGCCGAGGGTACGTATATCTGGCCATCTACACACAAAGTTGCTCGTCGCCCTTCTCGGAATCCTTCACGTGGTCGCCAAGGTTCTTCTCGTCGAGGGTCTGTTCGTCAAAGTTCCAAGGTTTCTGCTCTTCAAAATCCAGGTAACGCATATACGTCGTTCGCTTCTGCGGGTTTTTGTTTCTTTGGCTTATATTATTTCTTGATTTCAGGTCGTAAAGAAATGGGTAAGTTTGATCTAAGCGTGGTCCCAGATTACGCCAGTCGTTACAAGGAGAAGAGGCCGGCCGCGGAGACTCCCGTGGCGAAGCCATCTCATTCAGAGGAGCGACAGATGAGGGAGGCCCTGAAGAAGAGTCTCCTAGATCAGGGAGGGCGTCAAGCCTTCCAGGCCGGTAGTTCTCGGCCGTTGAGCCCTAACTCTGAGAGGGTAAAGAAGAATGAGATGCTCGCAGCTCGTTTGACTCAGCAGGCTGGTGGGGGCGACCGAGTTGCGATCCTTCCTTCTGGTGATGATTCCCGAGCCGTGGGAGTCCGGAATGACTCAGTCGAGCTTCTGACCAGGAAGAGGCCGGCCGATACAGGAGCCCGTCCGACTGCCCAGAAGAGGCCCCGAGTCGCCGACCACCGGTGGTCGTATCGCTATGTTGATAGGGATGTTCCCTTTACGTCTAACGCGGACGCCTGCGCGGCCCTATTCTGTGAGATGGGTCACGGCCCCGGCTCGTTCCCTCTTATTGAGGATCTTCGGGAGCGGGATGCGTACACCGAGGCGGCCAGGAAGTCATGCGAGGTTATTATTATTATTGTACATATATATTTTTTGTTTTTAAACCTGTTACCCTTCCTCGGTCGATTGTTTATATATATTTTTTGGTTAGGCGACCTTCGCGATGAACCGCATGGTCCATCTCTACGAGCGCCGAGTTCGTCGGCTTTCGACCGAGAACCCAAATTCGAATGATTATCAGGCTGCCATTGCTGCCGAGAAGGAGCGGGCAGATCAGGTCTCGCGAGAGTTGGGTGTTGTTAAGGACGAGGCGGTGAAGCTTAGGGAGAAGGTCAACCTCCTCGATCATCATAGAAATGGGCTGATTGCGGAGAGGGACCGTTTGAGCGCCGAGGTGGAGGCGGAAAAGGCTCGGTATGACGAGCTTGTTGTGATCCTCCGCTCCGAAAAAGCCAGACTGCGAGAACGTCGTGCTGAGTATGGCGAGTACTGTAGAGGTAAAGCTCTTGCGAAGATGGCCCGGCTGTTCCAGGCTCGTCTCACCCGTCTACAGGCTCACGTTGAGGATACCCGTGCCGCACAGCCCACTCTTCTGCTTTACAACCAGGCGGTCGGGAATCTCGGTTTTCTGAAAGCTCTAGTGGAAGACGGCGAGGTCACCGTCAAGTCAGAGGAAACGCTTTCCAGGATTGAGGCCGACGTGGCGCAGTATAGAGCTGATCTTGCGGCCTTCGACGTGACTGAGCTTCAGGACGGTGACTTTGACGCCTATACCCTTTTTGCGGATCGGGACGAGGTTACTGAGAACCTTCAGTATGCCGCCTCGGCTGCCAGTGGTAGGGAAGGCGTTGTTGATGACGAGGTCGAGGAGGATGCCGTTAATCAGGATACTCAGCAGGAGGTCGTTGTCGAAGCTCGTGAGGCCGGGGCCGAACTTCAGGACAGGGATGGTCTTGGGACCGAGGCCACAGGCGCTGAGCGGACCGGCGACGATCAGGAGGCTCCACGGGTGGCTATTCCGTTAGCGCAGGTTGTCCAGGACGGGGAGGACGTTGATATCGAAGGTTGACCGCGAGGTCGTTATTTTTAAAGTTGTTTTCGTTTTGCCGTGCATGACGGCTTTATCTAGTTGCCGCTTTGTCGGCTTTTGAACTTGTGCCGTTAATTCGGCTTTTACTTTGAACCTTGATTGCCGCTAGGTCGGCTTATTTTATGTAGTTTTCGCCAGTTATTTCTTCTTCTCCTTTCATTTTAGCCTGTGTTCTTCATGGGGCGGCTCCCGTGTAGGACGGGACGCGGCCGGTTTCTGTGTAAACCTGGTCGTGATTGGCTTGGTGCGAGTTCACCGAGCCGATGCGAGGACTAGATTACTTTGGTTGTCGGTAGGCTTGGCCGGTTGGGAATTCGAATCCGACCTTGGCCTATGTTTATTCCGTCGATATAATGCAAGT